TATTTAGCTATTAAACAGTGGCCAGTATACATTTGCATATGTATGTATGTTTTGAGCAAACGTGTTCATTTATCTTGGGGAACTACTCAGGAGTAGAATTTGCTGGGATATATGGTTAAGTTTATGTTCAAAATTTTAAGAAACTGCTGAAATATTATCTGAAATGGTTGTACCTTCACTGGTCTTGCCAACAACATCTGGGCTTCCCTGGATTCTGTCATACTTCCATTATGGCTATTTTGGCGGGTGTGATAATAGTACTACCCTCTATCTCCATTCCCATTTCCCTCATAACTTATGCTAAGCATCTTTCATGCAACTGTTAGTCTGCTTGTACTTTTAAAAAATGTATTATCATTATTGTTATTATTATCATTAAGGTAATGTATAGCAATTGTACTTCTTTAGCTAAAAGTCTTTCCAATTTTTGCCCATTTTGTCATTGGGTTGTTTTTCTTATTATTGATATGAGTTCTTTAGATGTTCTGAACACAGATTTTTCTACCAAATCTAATTTGCAAATACTTTCCCAGTCTGGTTTGTATTTTTAATTTTTCTTCATAATGTCATTTTACAATCATTTTATTAAACTATAATCTATATACCATAGTTTTCCATTTTAAAGTATAAAATTAAGTTGTTTTTATATAGTCACCAGGTTGTGCAACCATCACTACCATGACTACCACTGGTTTTAGAAACACTTTATGAGTGTCAAAAAGAAACCTGATATCCATGTGACAGTCATTCCTCATCCTTCTCAAACTCCCACCCAGCCCAGACAGCCACAAAGCTACTTTCTGTCTCTGGAATTTGCATATTCTGAGGATTCCATATAATAAGTATTATATGTGTGGTCTTTTGTGACTGACTTCTTTGAGTTAACAAAATGTTTCCAAGGTTCACCCATGCTGTAGCATATATCACTACTTCATTCCTCCTTATTGCTAAATAATATTGCAGTAAATGGATATAGAACACTTTCTGTTTTTTTCTTTTTTCCTTTGCTGGTACTGGGGCTTGAACGCAGGGCCTGGGTGCTGTTCCTGAGCATTTTTGCTCAAGGCTAGCACTCTACCACTTAAGCCAGAGCTCTTCCTCTGGCTTTTTGGTGGTTAATTGGAGATGAGAATTTCATAGACTTTTCTGCCCTGGCTGGCTTGGAACCAGGCTTCTCAGATCTCAGCCTCCTGAGTGCTAGCCACTGGCACTCAAAAGTCACTACTTTAAATTTCCCTTTCTTTAATATATAGTAATGTTGAACATCTTTTCATGTACCTATTGTCATTCATATATCTTCTTTGGAGAAATATCTATTCAGGGCATTTGCCATTTTAAAATAAAGTTATTCGTCTTTTTTATTACTGAGTTAAGAGTTCGTTGTATGTACTAGAGGAAAATGCCTTATGAGATACATAATTTCAAAGTTTTCTTCCTTTATGTTGTAAAGTCATCTTTTATTTGACTTGCTCCTCTTTCTCTCTGCTCCCTTCTGGGATTAAATACTAGGACTTGTGAATGTTAGCAAACACAAGGCTCTACCAGTTGAGCCACACCCCAGCCCTTTTGCTTACAGTAGTTTGTTATTTTTGGTTTTGGTTTTGGGGTTTGGTTTTTTTCTTTTTCTTTTTCTTTTTCTTTTGCTCTCTCTCTCTCTTTCTCTTTCTCTCTTTCTTACCCAGTCCTGGGGCTTAAACTCAGGGCCTGGACATTGTCCCTGAGGATTTTTGTTCAAGGCTAGTGCTTTATCCTTTGATCCATAGCTCCACTTCCAGCCTTTTGGTGCCTAATTGGAGTTAAAAGTTTTACAGACTTTCTTGTTCAGGCTGCCTTGGAATTGATATCCTCAGATCTCAGCCTCCTTAGTAGCTAGGATTGTGAGCATGAGCCATGGCAGCTCTTATTAGGGTTGTTTTATTTGTTTGTGCCAGTCCTGGGACTTGAACTCATGGCCTTCAACTCACTTCCCCTGAGTTTTGTGCTCAAGGCTAGTGCTTGAGCCACAGTTCCACTTTGGGCTTTTTTGTTTGTTTGTTTGTAGTTAATTGGAGATAAGAGTCTCAAAGCTTTCCTGCCAGGGCTGTCTTCAAACCAAGATCCTCAGATCTCAGACTTCTGAGTTGCTGGGTATTAAAGGCATGAGCCACCAGTGCCTAGCTGTTTATTAGTTTTTTAGATAGGGTCTTGGTAACTTTTGCCAGTGCCAGTCTTGGACTGCGATCCCCCTATCCCCACTTGCTGAGTAACCAGAATCCTAGGCATGAACCAGATGCCCGGCCCATCTTTTCACTTTCTGTAGTGTCCTTTGAAGCACGAAAGTATTTAATTTTATGATACTTTTGTAGCTTTTGCTTTGGTATATTATCTTAAAAGTGAGTACCTAATCTAAGTGCATTAAGCTTTCTCTCATGTTATCTTCTAGAGTTTTATTCTTTCAATTCTTAGATTTAAGTTGCTGTTACATTTTGAATGGATTAGTCTCTACTGTATTTAAGTAATTATTTTGAAGACCAAAGTTTTTTAATTACTTGACAATAATTGTACATTTTGGGGGGGAGATACATGCAATATATTTTGGTACATTATACATTAAGTCTTCTTTTTTTTTTTTTTTTGCTGGTCGTGGTTGCTGAACTCTGGGCCTAAGCCTGGGCCTGGGCACTGTCCCGCACCTCTTCAGCTCAAGGCTTGGGTCCTACCACTTGAGCTACAGCGCCACTTCTGGCTTTTTCTGCTTATGTGGTGCTGAGGAATCGAACCCATGGGCCTCATGCATGCAAGGCAAGCACTTTTACCACTGAGCCAACTTCTTAGCCCTATACATTAAGTCTTGATCAACTCAAGATATCCATTATTATAAGCATTTATCGTTTTTGTGATAAGAGCATTCACAGTACTTTCTTATAGTTATTTTGGCTTTTTTTTTTTTTTTTTTGCCTGTCCTTGGGCTTGAACTCTGGGCCTGGGTGCTGTCTCCCTGAACCTCTTTGTACTCCAGGCTAGCACTCTACCACTTGAGCCACCATTCCACTTCTAGCTTTCTCTGATTAGTTCATTGGAGATAAGAATCTCACAGACTTTCCTGCCCAGGCTGGCTTTGGACCGTGATCCTCAGATCTCAGCCTCCTGAGTAGCTAGGATTACAGGCATGAGCCACTACCAGCACCTGGCTATTTTGGCAAATTTTTGATAAAAATTAATTTGTAGGTTTTTTACATTTTCTGGTTTTGGTTTCATATTTAAGAAAATCTTGCCCAACTCAAAGAAACCAGATTTTTCTTAACATTTCATGAAATTTTGTTGACAGTTATTACATTCCGTTTTGAGGTTTTTGTTTTGTTTTGTTTGAATGTGGTATGAAGTAAAGATCTGAGTTCATCTTTATCATGGATCATTCTTCGTATACTAAGTGATAAAATTTCAATATGTGTAGTATGATACAATTCATGTACTAATTGCATGAAAACATATTATTCATAATTCTACATGTACATAGAAGGAAAAAGGTTAAAAAAAATTCCTGAATCTCTAATAAGGAAAAGAGGAAGGAACTGAGATTGGAAAGAATTAATGGTAAAAAAGATCTCCAGAATTATTTGCGCTAATTTGATACAATATTAACAATTACTCATCTGAGTGGATTATTGTAATATTTTTTAGTTTTCTGAATTTTTTTCGCAACACACAAATGATTCAAATAAGAACCATACAAAGCTAGATGTGGTAGGACAGCCTGTAATCTCAGCACTTAGGAGGCTAAAGCAGGATGATAGCTCAAGGCCAGTTTAGGCTATGTAGCAAGACCCAGCATCAGAAAGCAAATAGACCTGTGTGGTGGCTTAGGCCTATAATTATAGCTACTTAGGAGGCAGAGAATAGGAGGACCATGGTTGGGGCCAACTCTAGCAAAAAAGTATATAGATCCCCATCAAACAAAACATGCTGGGTGTGGTGATTCATACCTATCATTCCAACTATGTAAGTGAAAGGATTGCAGTCTGAGGTTGGCCCTGGGCACTAGCAAGACCCTAACTGAAAAAGGACCTAGAGCAAAAAAAGGTTGGAGATGTGTCTGAAGTGGTAGAGCGCTTGCCGAACAAACAAGAAAGAAAAGAAAAAGAGGAGGGAGAGGAGGAAAACATAAAATAGGAACCCTAGAGAGTATATCATTCCTTTTGCATTGAGGTCGGAGTCGTGTACACATCCTGCCAGCCTTCTCCAGGCAGGTTGTTACCTGTGGGGCTTCGGGGCTAGATGTCCAGAAGACCGCTATCTTCATTTGAACTCATTCTCATACTTTTGCTTAATGTTTTTTAGTTTGGCTTGCACAGAAAACCCAGACTGTGCCACAGCAGAGGCACAGGCTGAGTGAGCTGCCTTTGCTCTTTCTTTTCCATCTGCTTTATCCCCTTGCTCCTCTGAAATTATCCCAGACTTTCGCATGGGAGGGTCTCCTGTGTAACGAGGCCATTCTTACCTGGCCCTGGGGGCACATGACAGAGTGCTGCAGGTGCAGCGTGACAGCCCTGCTGATCTGGCCCGTGGAGTGCGGCCTGACCTACCACTCAAGAGCAGGGCACCACGTGGGAGCTGCTGCCCTTGCAAGGGAAGGGGATTCCAGCATCCACTTCCAGCAAGGACGCAGCCTTTCACAGACTCTCCCACTGTACCTGTTATAAAATGGGTCTATGAGGTCATATGCTTTATTCCTATGGGAATCTGGGGGATTCAGATGAGAGAATGAGTATGTGGCAGTGTTTGCACACAAATGTGACAGTGTCTGTGTGTTATTTCTCCCTGGTGGGAGTCAGCCCTCCGAGGTTGGCTGCTAGGCCCAATCTGTCCACTTAAAGGCCTCTGCCTTTCTTGCCAGTGGCCTCTTTCCCACCATTCTCCTGGTTCCCTTCTTTCAAACACAATCATGCACCATGGCTCAGACCCCCTTCTTCTTCAAAGAGGCTGGAGACCTGAGATGACATGTTTTCTCTCCCATCCTCCAGGCTCAGGCCTCAGGGTCCCCACACACATCGCCCACTCACGGAAGCAGTCGCCCCATGCCCATGCCGGTCCGCTCCACATCTGCCGGCTCCACCCCCACGCACTGCCCACAGGACTCTCTGAGCGGAGTTGGGGGAGACGTGCAGGAGGCCTTCGCGCAAGGTGAGTCCCCTTGAGAGGGTGTGTGTCTCTGTGTGTGTGTGTGTGTATGTGTGTGTGTGTGTGTGTGTTGTGTGTTTTCTGAGCTTTACCCAATTTAGATGATGAGTTCATCTTGGCCTTATGCCTCAGATTTATGGGATTAATAAATTGTGTGCAGCCCCTTCTCAGGAGATGGGCTGATATTCAGCTTCCTATGTGTGTGGAAGATAGTGCTCCTGGGTTCTGTGCTCTGTACCCTAGAAAGAGGGACAGGCTTGTGCCTCGGGCTTTGCCCCTGGGAAGGACTGGCTGGAATTAAGGCATGCACTTGGCTTGGACAGGAAAAGTGATAGTGTACCCAGGGCAGCTGAAGGTCAGTAGCCTGCAGTTGCCATGGCCATCTGAGGCGCGCGGGGTCTGCCCTCCTTGTACTGGGGAAGGAAGTCTTGGCAGGGGCTAAGAATGTGGAGTTGGGGGCTTGGGGAGCTCCTTCAAAGCTGAGGAGTGCTGGAGAGAGGCGTGCTCTGCATTCCCACAGTAGCATGTGTATTACACACACAGTAGCTGTGAAGCGTGGACGTGACAGACTCTACTCTCCGGGTAGAGTGGGGGTGGGCCCGGGCTCCTGATGTGTGGGGAGCAGGTGGACTTGCGGTGGCCCCATCTCCCCTTAGCTGTTTCACACCTGGGTCCCAAGGCATCGGCCCAGCGCGTGTTGTCCCCCCCCCCCCCCCCCATCTGCTCTGACTCCACAGGAACCAGGAGAAACCTCCGCAATGACCTGCTGGTGGCTGCTGACTCCATCACCAACACCATGTCATCCCTAGTGAAGGAGCTCCATTCAGGTGACACCCAGAGCTCCTGCCGGCAACCTTCCTGCCGCCTTCACACCCACACTGGCAGAGGGGCAACCAGGCACGCACCTCATCCCACCGTGCAGTTTTCCTTCCAGGAACACATGAGCTCTTCGCCCAGCGCACCGCCCATGACCCATGAGCACAGAACAACAGTGACACAGTTGATATGTCTAGTGGAGTAAATCCAGTTCTAAATGTAGGAAATACATCTCTGAAGTGCAGCCAGGCCCCTTCCTCACTCACTTGTTTCCCGCCTGCTTTGTCCACAGCGGCTCTCCCTAGGCCAAACACCGGCTCACTCTGAAGCTATCCTGGACACCAGCGAGTCAGCACACCCCGCCGGGCTCTACCCGCTGCCCTCTGCTCGCTCCTGTTTCATTCACTTTTGAAACCTGTCCTCTCCTTTTGTTCTCCACCAGGCTCTGATTTCACCTGAAGTTCCTGACCTGCCGCTTCCTGCTCTTCCTGCCCAGTCTTATCTGACTTCTTTCTCCATCTCTCCACCACTCGGGCAATACTGCAGTGACTGCTCAGAAACCTCTGCCTTGAGGCCTTTTCCCCTCACATAAAACCCAGGAAAGAAAGAAAGCCAAAGGCCTCTCACGAGCCGTCTACCGCCTCGTATCCCCACACCAGGGATGTAGCCACCGACACTTAGAAACTGTTTTTCCACACGGCATGTTACTAAGCGCGTGGGCTCCCCTCCTCACACCAAGGGCCCAGCTCTGTCCCTTGTCACCTAACACAGTGCTTGCTCGTAAGTAGCTTAGCAGGATGATTAAAGTACAAAGTAGGTTTGCAGGATTATTATTCAGACACTCTTATGTTAGGCAAGGCTGGGGTGGTTAGCAGGGGAAAGCATTTAAACTCTAGGGTTGTCCTGGGACCAAACCAAGGTCAGGCCCACGTTTGCTCTCAAGACTGGGCATTTTCTTCCAGAAGAGAATATACACGTGGGGTCTGGTTGGTTTTCCCAACTCAGGTCAGGAGCTCTCTGATGCCCCTTTCCCCATCTGGCCCTGTTTCTCAAGCCCCCATAAAAACCCAGGCTCTCTCCACAGGCATGGAGGTGATGGCCTTTGGGGGTGACTTCACAGATGATTGGAGGGTCTGCTCCCCACCTTCCCTGACAGGCCTCCCTCCTGTGTTCAGAGGGAAGTCCTTTAGGGGATTTTAGGCCATGGAAGTAAAGTACACCTATGCACAGTGGCTACTTGTGAGAGTTTATCCTAAATGAGTGGCTGTGCACTTAGCACACTTGGATGAGCATGTGACACCATTGAAAGTGATTGGCCCTCAGTAAACAAAACCATTTACAGTTTCCAACAGCTTCTCAAGCATTAGGTGTTGATGGAGACACTTCAGTAATGCGTAGTAGGAAAGGGTGGTTGTAACAAAACTGTGTGGTGTTGTTACCAGGTGCTTAAGAGATCTCATTGTCCTCTCCCTCTGGAAATGTGGTGAGCAGTTATCAGAAAAATGATTTGTCTGAAGTCATGCAGCCAGAAATAACAAACTTAGATCTTCAGAACATGAAGCCAGTGCTCTGACCCATCCCAAGATAGGTGTTACTCCCAGGGCTCAGTGAGGCTGTGTTTGCCGACTCTGTCCTGTCACTGAGCATTGAAGCCCATGGGCAATGTGGATTTAATCCACATGTTGTATAGCATCCCTGGAAGATACAGAGGTGTTTTGTTCTTGTTACTTTGTTTTATTTTAAGAATCTCACCATGTAGTACAGGTTGGCCTCAAACTGGCAATCTTCCTGCCTCTGACTAAGTGCTGGAATTACCCCATCTGGCATGAAAAGCCAGTTTTTCTGTGAAAAGAAGAGCCTTGCCCATACCAACACCAGTTGATAGTTCACTTGAGTATGGCTTCTCAAGGTTTTGTTAGAATGAAAAGATACTCGGATTATCTTTTTTTTTTTCCTTTTTGCCAGTCCTGTGGCTTGAACTCAGGACTTGGGCACTGTCCCTGAGCTTCTCTTGCTCAAGGCTAGTGCTCTACCACTTGAGCCACAGCACCACTTCCAGCTTTTTCTGCTTATGTGGTACTGAAGAATTAATTGGACCCAAGGCTTCATGCATGCTAGGCAAGTACTCTACCACCAAGCCACATTCCCAGCCCCCCAATTACCTTTTCATATACTGTATTTATACCTATAGCTTTCCTCATCTTTTCAAAGATACTTTAAATTATGGAATTGTAGAATTGAAAAAGGTCTTAGAAGTCATTTAATCTAACTTGCTGTCCTGTGTAAAAGTCCCCTTGAGTATTTCCACCCAACTCATTCATGACCAACTAGAATCACTAGAAAGTTCCTTATTGAAGATCAAGATCAGCGTTTTCGTAGCTGCTGTATCCTTGCCCCCATAAAGCTGCCCTGAATCAATTAAACCCTTCTTTTCAAGTTTTTGATGCAGCTAGCATGGTTCCCAAAGTTTTTCTTCCCAGTCCCCTGGGCCATCCTGAATGTGACATGGTTTTTACTTCTCTCCTGTTCGCTGCACCACAATATGTTCCAGTTAGGTGAACCTCCCTCCCCGCCCCCATGTGGGGGTTTGTCCCTACAGAACAAGGATCTGGACTGCCTTTTGGTGCGTCCTGGGAAACACTCCTGGATGGCATGGGCACTGTACCACATGGGAAGCAAATGCGGGCATTTTCAGTTTGCTCTCGGCTAAAATGTCTAGTGAAGTGTCCTTTTACTTTTTTACTTATTTTTTTGCCAGTGCTGGGGCTTGAACTCAGGGCACTGTCCCTAAGTTTTACTCGAAGCAAGCTCTCTACCACTTGAGCCACAGTGCCACTTCCGGCTTTTTCTGTGTATGTGGTACTAAGGAATCAAACCCAGGGCCTCATGCATGCTAGGCAAGCATGCTACCATTGAGCCACATTCCCAGTCTGGGTGTCCTTTTAATAGAAGCTAGTGCTACTCTAGGTATTCGTCAACCATGTATTTTTATGGTTGCTTTCTTATATGTGAATGTAAGATATTAGGTGTCTCCCTGGTAGATATCACCATTAAAAAAAAAAGTCACCCAATCCCTCTGTGGTCATCAGAGAAGCCAGCAGCAGGGTGGGTAGCACCAGGCTGCTCTGCTTCTGATGGACTCAGGATTCCTGGGCTTACATGAAATAGTGCTGGGGCAAGAACCTCACCAGGCACAGGCTAGGCAAGTTTATGCCTCCTGGAGACTGCAGGACTTTAGTGAGTTAGCTCCCTCCAGCCACCCTGCCTGAGTTACCCTGCTCAACCTTCTTCCATGCTTGTGCTGAGCAGAAGGCTCATTGGTCTCCTTGGACTTGTTTTTACAGCAGAGGAAGGTACAGAGGAAGAAGAAGAGAAGATGCAGAATGGGAAAGACAGAGGTAAAGGGAGCTCAGCAGGTCCTGTAGTTTGAATGGGAGCCCAAGCTATCGATTGGTAGATGCCATAATCCTCCCACTTTGCTTCTTCCCTCCTTCCTACTGCACCTTCCCTGTGCCTGCAGCCCCGGCACTCCCTTCTCCCCGCTCTCTCAGTGGATGCCCAAGGTTTGCCAACCAGTGGTCAAGTCAGCCGATAACACCAACTTCCTGATCTCTTTAGACTGCTTCAGAAAGTAGATACAAGCAAAACATTTCCCCTGACCTCAAGGAGTTAATCATCTAGTTAGAAAAGCAAAACTAAGATATGTAAAATAAGCGACAGCAGAAAAAGTTGATCATACTTTAAATGTATAATAATAAGGGTTTCCAGAAAGAAGGGATTATCCAGGGTAGAATAGCCAAGTGGTTTTGTTACTTCCTGGGAGCTAAAGACAAGAAAGAACTGTGTGCAGGAGATACACACTTGTTGTATGGGAGGAGGGCTGTGCTAAATGATTTTCATGTCTGATCTCACTTAATCCTTAACAGCACTGTGAGCTGTGCGTACCACATTTTAGTCATGAAGACGTCGGTTCTGTGGGACTTCATGGAGTTCCTGAATGACAGTGGCTGGGCTTGAATTGGGTTTGTCTGATTCCTGACTTCATGCCCTTGATCTCTGTCCTTTGGTGTTGTGCTGAACAGATAACAGAATTCTCTTAGGATATTTGAGAGTCATCTGTAGTTTTGATCATATATTAGCATATCCGCTGCTGGATTCCTCCAGTACATAATGCCCGAGGCAGAGCTTTCAGTCTGTTGTTGGTGTTGTTTTCCCAATGCCTGTCACTTAGTACGATGTCAGTCAGTGAACCTGTCTAAGGACACGAAGAGTGATAAGAAATGGAGAGGCCTCAGGAGGGAGAGGGACCTACGGGCCCTGAAACACGGCCTTCTCCTCTGGCTTCCCCACCCCAGCAGGGGGTGGAAATGTAGACAGAGCTCACAAGTGTGGATAACTGGATTGGTAATGAGTGGCAGACCCTGGGTCTACCCCAAGGCATGTCCGACTCCATGCCCCATGCAGAATGAGTCGGCTAGGTGAAATGTGTATATCTGCGGTGAAAAGCAGTGGAGGGGAAGGAAGGAAGGGGGGTGGGCAAGCCTGGTAGTGGCGCTGAAGCATTCTTTGCCCATCTAGGCTGGTGTGGATAAAAGAGGGAGGTCTCGGAGTCTCAGGGAAGGAATTGATCAGTGAGGAGAGGACAAACCTCCTGCAGATGCAGAAACGATCTAGTGAGCAGTGAGCCAGGGCGAAGTGGAAGCAATGGACAGCAGCTGGTTGAGCATGGCAATGGCACACCACCCCCACAGCAGGCGCCAGAAGTAGAAAAAGTGGTTCAGTCTCGAGGAAGGTAGAGACCACTGATGCTCTGGGCAGGTAGGAAGGCCATGGGGCAAGTAGGGTCAGGAGACTCTCACAGATAGATGTCCACTTCTGTAAATAGCATGCCCCAAACACACACCCCAGCGCGCGCACACTGACCAAATCCCAGCATTCCTGTGGAATGTCCTTGGCTGAGGGCAAAACAGCTGCTGGGCTGGCCTCCCCTCCCACATGCCCTTCCTGGCCCAGTAGCTTCTCCTCTGCCTCTTCTCAGCTTCCCCAAAACAAACCCAGGACTCTGCCCCAGCCTCCCAGGTCTTGCCCAGACCATGAACCATGGCTCTCAGTGCTGGTTCAAGTCTGAATGTGGACTGCATCTCCTGAAGAACTGGGATGGGTTCCTTTGGCCACACAGATCTCTGGCCCAGAGACTTTCTGTCTATGCACCTGACTTGCCCTGTCAACATCTTTTCTATCTTGCTGCTTGCCCTTGGCCTCCGCTCACTCTTGTCCAGAGCTTCTGTGTGTTTCTGTGAAGCCTTTAAGGGACTCCATACATTTCAGTTTCTGTGGCTTTGGGTTGTCATTCCTGAAGGCAAGAGTGTAAGAGCTAGCTGTGGTGAGAAATAATTAAAAAAAGAAAAGTTTGATTCTCAGTATAGCCTTGGTCCTGTAGTACAGTATAGCTCTTAGTGCGGATGTCCTTATGGGACCAGGTGTTTCTGGGGTGGCCTTCTGGCCCTCTGCCATGATGTAGGCAAGAGTGTACTGTGCACAGACCTAGCATTGACTGTAGTCACTGGGCATGCGTTCAAGATCAGAAACTGCCAACCCTTCATTGGGGTTAGACTCGTGCTCTCCTAATACAAACAACGTGGTCAGCTTTTGTCCCATGTACATGGTCTGCTCAACACAAAAGCCATGAGCCCAAAGGTCACCGACCAAACTAGAACTCCCATCCATGTCCCCCGCAGCTCCCACTCTGCATGTGCTACTGTGACTCTTGCTCGCTAATCCCAAATATTGCTGCTGCATTGGGGTACCCTTCTTACTGTGCATCTGCCCAACCTCTCACCCCAGGTGTAAACAAGACCACACAGATAAGGCCTGGACCCCCCCCCATATTCCCCATTCTGCCTAAGCACCTTAAGACATCTCAGCTGCTCCAGTATCTCATTCTATGCTGCTGTGTCCTTCAGAATCTCTCCAGAATTGCCTTCCCGGGTCAGGGCTCTAGTCTAGTTTGCACACTGAAGAAACCCTGGTGCATGTCTGGATAGCAGTGGCCCTGGCTTTGGGCACACCCAGGCCCTGAGGGGCCCCGTGTGAGCAGGAGCAGGTCTGGGCATGTCAGAACAGAGGTGTCTATAGGAAGGAAATTCTGCCCAGTCACACGTACTTTTTTCCACGTATTCACTTCCAGAACCAGGAAGCACCTCCCTTGCACAAGCCTCCTTAGATCCGTCCCACTGTTTGCCTTCTCGAAGGCATCCATCCCCTTGGCTGACTTGTGTCAGCTGAGTAGCGGCTGTCTATGACACGACTCACCTGTTACCACACCTGGTCAGGAAAAACGTTGACAAAGGGGAAAGGCAAGTCCAGAAATCTCTGGGCTGGGTGGGTCAGGAAGGCCCCTGGAGAAAATCCTGGGGCTTTGAAGAGCCTGGGTGTGACCTTGCTGTTATTTCTGCCCATGCTGCCACAGGTTAGCAGAGGAGCGGGACACAGGACGCGCGGGTGAGTACCTCGGGGCCTCTACCTTCTGGGACGCCTCCGCTCCCCTTCCCCTTTGTTCAGTCACAGGTCCTGAGCCACAGCTGTCCAAACAAGCTAACTTAAAATTAGGATGCCTGAAAGAGCCTGACTGCGCCTCTCCTCCGCCCCAGCCCTGCCACCAAGCCAGCTTTGCTCTGTTGCCAGGCTGTGACCTGTCTTATACTTCATGTCCATGGGCTGGCCTCAGGCATGGCCTGGCAGCACCAACACTGCTATCTGAGCATGCGGCAGAGGGCCAGCCGAGCGCGGCCACCTCCCTTGTACTGCCGCTGCTGCTCCCGTCCCTCAAGCCACGGACCACCCCATAGCAGAGTCCTCCGCCCTGTCCCCTGCTCAGTCCCTGACCCATAGACATGTCAGGGCTGTGCAGGACTGAACCAACTAGAAAGCAGTCCAACAGTCTGACTGAGCTCCTCTCTTCCCCAAAGAATGGAGGAACCAAAGCACAGCCATCCCCAGTGGCTGAGTCCCATTTTTCCTTCTCTAGACCTCCACTCTGATCCCAGCTCCAAGACATTGCAATCTCTGATGCCCTCAATGGAGGGACACAAGGGCAGCAAGCACTTACTTCTGGGGAAGCCTCCCTTTCAGGGGAGCAGCCATGAGAGGCCTTCTTTCTTGGGTTCTCCCTGCCCTGACGCCCTGACTTCTTAGCTTGAAAAACTAGCCATCATCTTCAGTTCCAGATCTCCAGAAAAGCCAGGGCTGCAGACCCACAGTCCAGAACAGGAACTTCCCAGACCCTGCCATCCAGGAACTGCCTCTGGGCATTCTGACTCTCCTGGCTGCACAGCCCTCTGGGACCATCCTGACCCCCTGCCCTCCCCCACAGCATCAGCCTGCATACTGGTGGGCAGACATGCTTCCAAAGAGCAGCCTCACTGGCAGACTAGGAGAGGGGCTTTTCCCTCCGCTTCTGGGCACATGAAAGACAGGTCCTTTCTGCACGCATCAAGGCCCGGCTGCCCCACCAGCTGGGGAGATCTGGAGCAGACTTGCCTTCCTGCGGAGCCTGCCAGGCCTCTCTATCCCCAGGGCAGAGGGACTGGGTGGAAAGGAGGTGTGTGAGCGCCATCTGGCCTACCCCTCTCTGTGCACATGAGGAAACCAAGGCCCACACCCAGGAGGAGCTCAGTGCCAGAGCTGCAATCGGAGCGGGCCGTCTGCTTTCAGCTCCTGCCCTCTTTGACCCACATCAGGAGTTAGGAGAAATCAACAGGGAGAGTAAGAGAAAACGCAACAATCTGAAAGCCACAGCTCCTTGCAGTCCGAAGGCCTCTTCTGTGATGGCACTAGCTAGAGCTTCCGTCCTGCCCTCTCAGCATGCCTTTCTCCACAGTTCTTCCCAAGAAGCCACCACATCCCAAACCTGCCATCCACAAGCCAGTTCTTTCTTTTTCACAGGAGCCATTTAATGACCCTGTGACATCTCCCATCAGGATAGAGAAGGCCCCTCACCCCAACTTTGAAAGGCTGAGCCCCTCCCTGCAGCTCCGCTGGCTCACAGCTAGTGCCTGTGACTAACCGTGAGTCTGTCCTGCACAGGCCCAGAAGACAGAGGAGCAAGCTGGCACAACCAGACGAAGGGAAGGTCTGCCCCCAGAGGCACATTCCTATCCATCTATCCACTGCACACCTGGACTGGGCTTGCAGGCTGCCAGACGTCACTCCGCAGCCAGAGAGAGGGGAGCCAGGCTGGTGGGAAGTGGGGAGGGACGGCCGAGAGCCACAGCTGGTGGGCCTTCCCCTCCACAGCCCTGCATGTACTAGCTGCTTCCTTCCTCCCCTCAGGGCATGGTTCATCTCTGCATCAGGAATTTACCAGGAGATTCAAAAAAAAAAGAAAAGGAAAAGCACTAACGCTGTGTGTGTTTGTGATCTGATGAATCTCCTGGCACCTGGCCCGCACGTGGCACACTCCCCCTAGTATAGGGGCCCAGGTTTCCTCCTTACCTCTGACCTTTAAAAGCCAACAGGTCGTCGTCTTCGGTCTATGCGAAGAAAGCTGCAGGACCTGCGCAGTTCTATAGACATTCACACCCTGGCCACAGTGCTAAAAATAGCCTCCTTCCTTTCTCACACTGCTGAGGCTTCCGCCCGCCCGGTGAGCCAGCCGGTGCAGTGCGTGCGGGCTGCTGCTCAGACTGCAGCCTGGCCCGGGTGGAGAGCCCAGCTGCGTGCTGACCACAGAGCCGGGCATGGCCACCAGGGGGCGCTGTCCGGGCGATGCTCTCACAGTCCTGCCCTCGGGTTCTGTGCGGCCTGGACACACGTGATCATCAAGTCCAATTCACCGTGATTTTCATTTATTTTCTTCTGCTCCCTGGGCTCCAGGATGTTATTTTTAGTGGAAGAGCTGCTATAAATATTTATAAAGGGCAGTGGCTGGAATGAAGTGAGAGGCCCCTACAGCTGGCTCTGTGGCACCTCTTTCCCCCTTGCCACCCCCTGCAGACCCCAGCCCCCTAGCTTTGAGGTGCCATGGGCTCCACACATGGGTAGAGTCCCATGAGAACCTCCTAAGGGGGCAGTTGGGAAAGAACACCGTGGATACTGACTCCTTCCCTCCACTGGCTCATCCTTATTCCCACCTTGTACAGAGGTCAAGCCCAGAGTTGGTCAGGGCCCAATTCCGCATCCCAGGTATGAGCTGCAGGTACGCAGGGGACACTGCAGCTGTGGGGACAAGGAGAATGGGAGACACGCTGACTTGCTCAGTTGTGACAAGGACGTTTACCCTCAGAAGAAAACCTTGTCCACACGTGATAGGAGCCGGAGGTCTAGCAAGCCAGCAGATACTTGGGATGAGAAAAAACCATGGAGGCAAAAAAGGGACGAAGGCTCTTGGCTTGCTGGAAGGCCGGAGAGGAGCAAGGAAGAGCACAGTGCTACATGGGAAGCTGGCAAGCCCAAGGGGAAGAGTGGGTGTGAGGGTCTGAAAGCCGCTGTGTGGCTGTGTCCCCCATGATCCTACTTGTCCCTGAGCAGCATGGACCAGAGAAACAGTGGAGGTCTGCCGAGATGTGTGTAGTATATAGCAGTGCCCACCCCCATAGCTGTAGAATGCAGCTGCCTGCCACCAGTATAGTGACCAACGTAAGAGCAAATATTCTTGTTCTCTGCCTGCCTCTGGGAGGAATGGCTCGGCCCTCCTGGCCGGTCACTGCTGACGAGCACCAGGGGAGAAGCGAGAGCCACAGAGACGGCCAGTGCCAGCATTTGGACATGATACGTGCCTTCACTTTCTCGGTTATTGTGGACGATTGTTTTCCTGGAGAGCTAGATTGCCCGCTGTTATCTAAGGCCCTGGAGAGTATTTTATGACTTCTTGGCACTTGCCATCAAACCAAAATTCACATCAGAAACCTGAGGCCGGTCCCTTCCCTCTACCTGGAGCATAGGAGGTCATTGTATGGCATACGCTTCTTGTTTGCTCTGTGGCCATTTAGAGCCAACTTGGAGCAAATGATCTTTTGAGGGACACATACTGACAACCTCTGGACCCCAGGGGCATCCAACTGTTCTGCAGCCCCCTGCCCTGCTCGCTGCTGTGTGGTGTCCAGGAAGATCTCTGGAAAGGAGCCACATGCACCCTGAGTATGGAGGCAGAGCCCCCAGGCTTTGGGTTTTTAAGTCCCAGCCATCCTGAGCTTCAATTAGTTCTCACAGTGCTCCCCCCACCCCGCCCCCAATCTGCTGGCTTTGTGCTCTCCCTTGGCGGCTCCTCTCCTGCTCGATTTGCTCCTTGCTCCCAGGTTGGCCAGCTCAGAAAGGTGCAGTTGCCATGGCAATGCCTGGAGCCATCTGAATTCCTGCTGCTGCTCCTGCGAGTGAAGGCTCTTGAAGAGCCCCTTGGTGGGTTCTAAGCCCAGCCTCTGCTCATACTCTAGGGGTTTAGGTGCTTGTTTGGGGCTGGAGTGTGGGAGGTGGGTGGCCTGCCTTTCTTGGAAAGGGATCTATAGCTGCAAACTATACGCACATCGTCCTCAAGCCCCAGCCAGCTTCTCTGTGTGTGGACCAGAAACTAAATGAGCTCCCGACCTGGGCTCTTCAATAATCCACTGTCAGTGGCTCCCAGATGAGCATGCGTTATAGTTCCCTGGAGGGGTCAGGTCGGACCTCCCAAGGTTCTGATTCAGAAGACTTGAGCTGAAGCCAGGGAATTGGCAGCTCTAACCAGCACCCAGGGGCTCTGGATGCTTTTGGTCTACGTACTGGGAGAACTGCACTGTGTTTTTATGTGGGGGAAATTACATCTGTGCAGGACACCATGGCCATTCAGGCAGGAAAAAGCCAGAATCCATTCTAGATGGCGGGGGGGGGGGGGGGTGGCGGCAAGGAGAGGAATGAAGGAGAGAACGATGGTGCGTTGAATGCCATTTCTTGACTGGGGTCCCTTAAATTTCTTTGAGGTTTCCAACAATCAGTAAACAAAGACCTCAAACATGGCATATGTAGGTGGGGCATGAAGACAAGGCCATTACATTACAGAGACTAGCATCACAGATGCCAGCTGCTAGGCAAGGTCATTCATGAGTCTACACTATCAGTAGTGGGGGCGCTAATGGCCTGCCTGTCTTCTAGAGGGCTAAGAGGTGAGGGTATTGCAGACACTTAACCCCCTACATGGGCTTTTACTCCAAATGTAACTACCGTATTCCACACTACACAACCTTCAGACTCCACCTCCTGTGGGCACCATTTCTCTGAGAGAACAGTGCTTAAGAAGCTAAGTCCGGGCTACTAGCTTAAGAATGGCAGGTCTGCTGCACACCAGTGGCTCACGCCTGTAATCCTAAGTACTCAGGAAGCTGAGATCTGAGGATCACAGTTCAAAGCCAGCCCGGGCAGAAAAGTCCATGAGACTCATCTCCAATTAACCAGAAAACCAGAAGTGGTGCTGTGGCTCAAGTGGTAGAGCACTGTCCATGACCTGGAAGAGCTCAGGGACAGTGCCCAGGCCCAGAGTTTAAGACCCATGACTGACAAAAACAAAACACCCAAACAGGTCCAGGAGCCAGTGTGTGGAAGCCATTCTCTGCGCAGGGCTCTTAGAGTCCCCTCTGCCTCCAACAAGAGACATCTGGAGTGGGAGCAGGTTGCAAAAGGAATGGGCACCAAGTTGGTTGACCAGTTCTAGAAGGAAGTATTCATTTTGCTGTTCTGCAAAGGCTGGATGGGGGGGGGGGGCAGTGCCTTCATTTTAAAATACACAGCGGCTATGAGAAAAAGGCTTGCCAGGAACCAGGCGGCCCTTGAAAGAGGTCCACACCAGCCTCAGTTCTGAAGTGATGGAGCCTGTTGCTGCTACAGATAGAGGCCGGTCTGTCGTCCATTCAAGCAGATACTTAGCACTATAAACCAGGCCCCAAGGCCCGAGGTTAAGGTTGAAGTCCAGCCTGAGTTGATAACTGCAAGTGAGGCGTGGGCTTGGTGAAGCCGACTACCCTTGACCCAGGCCCAGGTCACTCCAAGGAAAAGAAAGACATGGTGGTCACTATTCAATCTGCTCTAGTCTTTGGGCAGAGTGGAAGAAGAGGGCATAGGCAGGCCATGAGGGTGTGAGTCATGGTTAACAGACTTTATCCACCCCCCCCCATGTAGATGTCTCCTAATTAATAAAGAGCTAATTATCATTCCTAATCAACTATAGACAAAATCCACTTCAGAGAGTGCTGAACTGGATAGCGTACAGGTAGCCCCTGTCCCAGCATTGGCCTCCAGCCAACACTGTTCCCAAAGTTTGTAGGCTAAGCCTGCAAGAGAATGGCAGTCAGGTGCGCCTGTCTAGTATTGTTGGGAGCCCAGTGACTGCAGTGCACGTGTGTAGATATGTACACACAGGTAGATGCGAACACCATTTTAGAGCTCTCTGCCTCAAACAACTGGGGCTGCGGTCTCTCAGTTTTCCATGAAGAACAAAGCTTTGTGCTCAGCCCCTGAGCTGAGCCTGGGCATCCACCTGTCAGGCCGAAAGGTCACTTGTCTGTGTGGGCCTCTCATTCAGATACCTCTTGTAGGCCACACCAAGTCCTCCTCGGTGGCCTGGTCTCAAGGTCTTCATCAATCTCTTCCTCCCCACCAGGCAGTTATCTATCAGGTGTTGTCTCCTAACAGTTGGCCTAGGTTTGCAGCCACTCAGTTCCCTCTACTGGGTGTGTGGGAGCTTGTTTTGCTTCCTGGCCAGAGCTGTGCCAGGATACCAGCCCCTCATTGGCCCCTGGCCCTCCTAGTGCTGCCTCTTGCTCCCCCCAGGGGCATGGTCTTTTTTTTTAACCAGGGAACATGCCTCCTGTTGCTGGGAAGGATGGCCTGTGGCCAGGAGGCTGGGTGTCAGTAGCAGCTCCGGGCACTGAACAGTGGGGTGTGGGCCCTGGCTGCGAGGATGCCACACCCTCCTGTGTGGCGCTGTCAGCCGGGTGGTGTGGCCTACTTTCCTCATTGCCTAGACAACCATCTTGGGTTCTCCCTTCACAGCCATGCCCAAGTTGGGATCCCAGAGGAGAACCAAGGATCCAGGACAGCCTGGGGGCTGTTGGACACGTGGGAGGGGCAGGTGTGCAAGCCGGGGAAGGCCAATGGGAGAGCCAGGCCAGCCCAGGTAGCCAGGTCCACTCCCATCATGCATCGGGGGCTTATGGTAATTGCTGTCTTTGTCCTGTGAGCACCACAGATTGTCAGCCCTGAATGTGAACTTGATTATGATATCCAGGCTTGGCCTTCTTCCAGAAAAGCTCCTCTCTCTACCTCTGAGGCCCTGGCTGCCGCCTCTGCCCAGCGGCTCCTACCTGCGCTCTCCACCGCCCAGCTCAGCTCACTTGCTCCCTGCGCCTCCGAGGGGCTGATGGGATTTCTTGGGGCTGCGAGAGGTTCAAGGGGGCCGCTTATCTTCCTGCCTTCAGCGCACGGCAGAGTCAAAGGAATGAGATTGGGGTCACTGGGAGGCCTCTGGATCTAAACTCTGGCAGGGTGGGGTGTAAAGCTGGTAGAGTGGGGAGGGCCTTTGTTTAACATTTCTGTTTGCTGAGGCCCCTGTGCTGGCCCACCCACGGCCCCGCCTGCCCACTCCCTGGGCTGACTTAGCTTGGGTCTGG